TAACAAATTAGTCCTGAATCTAGGATGAGATAAATGTAGCAGTACCCTGAGTCCTCTTATGAGGAAGTCCAGGAAGAAGAGTTAGGCCTCAAGCAGCCAAAATGCTGAGCTAGTTGTAGGTTTTGCAGTTGCAATTCTTTTAATTTATTTTTGCATTTTTTATCTTTCTTTTGTAGCCTGTCTCACAGGTCTGTGGGATAATGTACACACTTTGGACTGGAGGATAAAGAGGAGAGAGGCTCTTCCTTCTTTGGAATTATTTACATTGGATATATTTCCAGTGGTGGAATTTATCAATGTATTAAAATGTAGGAATACTCAAGAATGACAAGAAATCAGCCCTTCCATAAAGACAGCTGTATATGTAAGGGGTAGAGAAATAAAAGTCTCAACAGAATGATAGATGCTTAATGTTTTGCTGGGCAAATAAGGAGATTCCTTTCAAACAGACTTTTTCAAATTTACAGTGATTTTAAGGTTTACTTTCTTTTTTTAAAATATATTTGTATTGATTTCAGAGAGGAAGGGAGAGGGAGAGAGATATAGAAACATCAATGATGAGAGAGAATCATTGATCAGTTGCCTCCTGCACACCCCCTAACTGGGGATCTAGCCAGCAACCCGGGTATGTGCCCTGACTGGAATCGAACCCAGGACCCTTCAGTCTGCAGGCTGATGCTCTATCCACTGAGCCAAACCAGCTAGGACTCAAGGTCTACTTTCTTTGCTCCTGGCTTAGTACCCAGAGATCTCATCTCTCATATTTGATTATTACAAAGGGGATTTTAGATTATAGTCTTACTAGAGGCCCAATGCACAAAATTCGTGCAAGGGACTCGCCCTCGCAGGCCCTTACAGCCCCTCGTAGCCTCAGCCGGCCCACGAAGCCCCGGATTCTTCTGGAAGGTTGTCCAGACAGTCGTCCAGAAGGTCATTCGGATGGTTGTTCTGCTGTTCGGTCTAATTAGCATATTAGCTCTTTATTATATAGGATTAAAAAAAGAAAAAAAGCCCGTTAAGTGAATTGTATGTGATAAGAAATTAGGGTGTCCCCAGCCTTTAGTTAGTATTTTACCTTTCTTCCTTCCTGTCCATTTTTACAATCAACAAAGTCTTACTAAATTCTGAGTCCATGATCTCTTATACCCACAATTTCATAAGATCTGGAAGGGATCTAGAGAGCATGTGCCCTGGGCTCTGAGGACATGTGCATACAAAATGGTTAAGACTCCTGATTTATTTTCTTGTCTTCCTCTTAAATTCCCTTCCCTTGCCAGAGAAAGCGATTGCTAAGCTCAGTCCTTGCGTTGTTTTCAGTTAGCTTCAGGCATGGATACAATGGTAGCATGTTAAACACACACACACACACACACACACACACACACACACACACACAATGGTAGCATGTCTATTATCTATTTTACCCTCCCCACCTCCTAAAAGTTTTCACTGTATGACCCCATTAAAATTGTATTGTCTTTTGTCCCCAAATTAGATTAACTTGCTAAAGACCCTTACAATTCAAGGGTCAGGAAAGGAGCTCCCTCCTGTTCAATTCATTTTATTGTTAATCCTCACCTGAGGATATTTTTTAAATATATTTTTTATTGATTTCAAAGAGGAAGGGGAAGGGAGAAAGACATAGAAACATCAATGAAGAAAATCATGGATCTGCTGCCTCCTGCACGCCCCACACTGGGGCTGGAGCCGACAACCCAGTCATGTGCCCTGATCAAACTGTGACCTCCTGGTTCATAGATCATTCAACCACTGAGCCATGCAGGCCAAGCGAGGATATCCTTTCCATTGATTTTTGGAGAGAGTGACAAAGAGGGAGGGAAGAGGAAGAGAGAGAGAAACATGGATGTGAGAGACACATCCATTGGTTGCCTCCCGCAAGTAATCATCCTGACCCTGCAACCCAGGTATGTGCCCTGTAATGGGAACTGAACCTACAACCCTTTGGTGCATGGATCAATGCTCCAACAACTGAGCAACACTGCTAGGGTTTTTCTTTTCTTTTCTTTTTTTTAAAATTTTTTCTCTATTTTCTGTTCAGTCATTTAAAAAAATATATATATTCTTATTGATTTCAGAGAGGGAGAGGGAGAGATAGAAACATCACTGATGAGAGAGAATCATTGATTGACTGCCTCCTGCACGCCCCCTACTGGGGATTGAACCCACAAGTCAGGTATGTGCCCTTGACTGGAATCAAACCTGGGACCCATCAGTCTGCAGGCTGACGCTATACCCACTGAGCCAAACCGGCTAGGGCTCTGTTCAGTTCATTTTAAACTAGGCATATGTTTATGGTCCCTCTTTTGTATAATTTTGAATTGGTAAAGCAGTGATGACCCAATATTATAGTTTTGCTTTAATATATCTTTGGACTTTGCTGTCTTGAAATATCCAAGGGCAAATCTGGAAAACTCCTATGCTGGCCATATGGTCACCTATGGGAAGATGAGGCTTACGTAAGAGGCAAAATCCTGGACTCTTTCCCAAAATTGTAACAGGAAGACACTATAAATCCACAATAAGGGACTCTAGAGAAGACCTCTCAGGCACTTATAAAAAGCCACTATGAGCAAACTCTTGGCAATTTGGATGTACAGACCCTGATCCCTTCCCTAGATCATTTTGAGGGAAATTTAACTATGAACTGAAAAAAAAATCCTGGCTTGTAAAAATCCAGGTTGAAAGGAGATTAAAGGAATATATTTGAACAGTTACTCTGTAGAATTATTGGGAAATAAAATGCTCCCAGGGAAAAACACTGCCAGCCAATGTTCAGTCAGTTCAGCACTTAGAAATGATCTTTGGTATGTAAGTCAGACTTGAAATTGCTTTTGAAATCTCTCCAAAACTGTCTTTCCCACTCAGACTTCATGTCACCATCTAGTGAGTTGTGAAAACTCCAATTTTTCTTTAATGTCGTTTTTTAAAGCTAAAATGCTAGGCCCTTTCCAAGACACACTCCACCTTGCCACTTATGATACACGGGTGGCAATAACCCTTTCCTCATGCAATACCCATAATAGAACCAAAATTTTATAGGGAAGGATGTCCATCTCAGGAAACTTGGAAAGACTATGAATATTAAAATATTGCCTTATGAAGAAGACAAAGCAAGCGTGGTTCACAGGTTAAACTTTACAAAGAAAAAAATATAATAGGGCACCTCTATTGCACAATAAGTAGAGCTGAAGTTTACAGTCACCTCTTTGTTGTCCACTCCCAACTCAAAGACTTCATTGTACATATTAAGCTCACCCTTCTGCCAAATGCATCTACTTTTTTTTTTGAAGAACCTACTCTTTTACTCTTTATAGAGTAGGATGATGATGGAAAATAAAATTTGGAGTAGAAATAAACAGCAGATAATAAACCATAATTGTTTTTAATCTTGAGAATGAGTCACCCTCAATTTATTTCCAAATTTCTCTGTCATCAGCTGTTCATTTCTTTGCTTTGAATATCACCAGATTAACGCTGCCAAAGGCAGGTAGGAAATTATCCAAGAAGACAAATCAGAGGCACCACACAGTGAGTGGATGAAAAACTGGGAATGAGATAACCCTCAGGAAAGTCTCCTTTTTTGTTCTAGTGAAGCCACAATGTGTGAACTTAATTTACATTTTCATTATTCCAATCAGTATTTTTTATATCAGTATAATTTCTGCCCATCACTTTGTACGTAAGATATTCAAATAGGTCTAACTTCAAAATTACTAGTAATTTCAAATTAAGAAATTATATTTTTACATCTCCTTTTTAATACTTTCATATGCCTTCCTTAAATCTTCCCTTAGTACAAGGAATTTCAAAGCTGAATGGTCAAACAGACATTCTAATATCACAATCATAAGAAATGTGATTGATCTGTGAACCTGGGTGATTCTCCTCTGTCCATCAGTTTATTTATTTATGTTTCCTTTTTTGTTAATCCTCACCTGATATTTTTTCATTGAATTTTAGGGAGAGGGGAGAGAGAGAGATTCCTTGGTTGCCTCCTGCATGAGCTTTGACCATGGCCGGGGCTGGGGAGGAGCCTGCAACCAAGGTTCATACACCCTTGACTGAAATCGAACCTGGGACCTTTTGGTCTGCAGGCCAAGGCTCCATCCACTGAGCCAAACTGGCTAGGGCTGTCCATCAATTTATCAGGGTGTTCAGTTCTCCTGTAAAGTGTAAGCTTGCTATTTTACCTATATTTGACTTGTCTTCCTTAAGCTAATTAGGTTCTTAAACCCATTTAGCCTCTAACTCCTACTCAGGGTTGGAAAAAGGAGATTGGAGTCCAGATGTTCTCCCTAGGACCTAGGTCAGGGGTGGGCAAACTTTTTGACTCGAGGGCCACAATGGGTTCTTAAACTGGACCGGAGGGCCGGAACAAAAGCATGGATGGAGTGTTTGTGTGAACTAATATAAATTCCAAGTAAACATCATTACATAAAAGGGTACGGTCTTTTTTTTTTAGTTTTATTCATTTCAAACGGGCCGGATCCAGCCCGCGGGCCGTAGTTTGCCCACGGCTGACCTAGGTCCAAGTAACAGGCCAATTATTGCAGGAAGACTAAAGATAGAGGTTTCAGACTATCCCTAACTTCTTTTTTGATTTGTTTGTTTTTAAATATGTTTATTGATTTCTGAGAGGAAGAGAGAGGGAGAGATAGAAACATCAATGATGAGAGAGAACCACAAACCGTGATCTCCTGGTTCACAGGTCAATGCTCAACCACTGAGCCATGCCAGCTGGGCTGTTTGTTTTTGTTTTTCTCCTTTCCTAACATCTTCTTAAATATACAAGGTTGCAAACACAGATTAGCAGACATTTACCTGTCAGAAGACCATTCTCAAACTTAAAGTCACTTTAAAAAAATGTTTTTATTGATTTTTGAGAGGAAGGGAGTGGGAGAGATAGAAACATCAATGATGAGAGAGAATCATTGATTGGCTGCCTCCTGCACACTCCCTACTGGGAATAGAGCCCACTACCTGGGCATATGCCCTGACCAGAAACTAACTGTAACTTCCTGGTTTGTGGATCGATGCTCAACCACTGAGCCACACCAGCCACTTGCCTCAAATTATGCCTATCTAGGCAGCAAAGTAGAAAAGCTAAAATGCCACCCAAATAATTCAGGACAAATAAATATTATTTTCATTTGAAATCTCCAGATAATGGAAACAAAAAGAAAGTGTTCTGGCTAGATGCCATTTTCTCCTTTGCTTTGATGTTGTAGGCACAATCATAAATGTTCGCAACCAGTGAGCTTTCAAATAACTGAGGCTCAACCTGGAGTTCAATGCATACTACGGAAGTGTTGTCCTGATTTTTTGTTTAGTTAATAATAATAGAAATACAAATGAATCAAAATATTCTGGTATAGCCCCAACTCTTCTAAAAAACATGCGGATTAAATGTCAATTTGTGACAAGTGTCCACACTCAGTCATGCTAGATGATGGAACTGTATAGTGGCTGGTGAGGGAGAAAGTTTGTCACAGCTCCTTCTGGAAGGTTTCCCTCCTCCTCCCCACCTTTCACATTAGCTAAAATGAGTGAATATCAGCTCTTGACGGATCCGGTCAGCCTCTAGGTCCAGGGACTCCATGTGCTCATACTCTTCCTCGGGAGGTTGTTCCATGGGTCCTGTCATTGGAGAGGACCAAATATCCATCCCATGCTCCAAGGAGATGTTGTGGAGGACACAACACGCTAAGATGATGTGGCTGGACTTCTCTGGTGAGTACTGTAGTGCCCCCTTGGACCCATCCAGGCAGCGGAATCGGGAGCAGAGTGTTCGGAAAGTCTTCTCAATCACACTGTGAGTTGCAGAATGGGCCATATTATAGCGATATTCAGCTGGAGTCTCATGAATGTGAAGTGGTGTCATAAGCCAGGTACGGAGAAAGAAGGAACTGTCACCTGTGGGGAAGGCCCAAAGAAATCATAAATGATCATAGTTGGAATACTAACAAAAAGGAAAATCCAGGAACATATACAGAGAATGGACAACAGCCTCTGGACCTAAAGCAGAACAGAAAAACCAAGAGGAAAATGCCCTGGTAAAGAGAAGGCATGCCAGAGTCACAAGCAGGTAGACACGAGTCTTAGCTGGGAATATCTTTGGTTAAAACCAACAGAGAAAAAGGCTGATAGCTAAAGAAAGCCAAATCTAAAAAAATGTAGGAAGGAGGTGAAGGCACTGGAGGAAATAAAATTCCTGATAATAAAAAGTTAGTAAAAACTGGAGAGCATTATGCTAAGTGAAATAAGCCAGTCAATGAAAGAAAAATACAACATGATCTCACTCATTTATGGATAATAAAGACCATTATAAACTGATGAACAAAAATAGATACAGAGGCAGAGCAGCATCGAACAGACTGTCAAACTACAGCGAGAAGGCCGGGGAGGGTTGGTGGTGGTGGTGGGGGGGCGTAAGCGATCAACCGAAGGACTTGTATGCATGCATATAAGCATAACCAATGGACATAAGACACTGAGGGGTAAGGGAGGCCAGGGGATTGTGACATATGTAATACTCTTTGTAATACTTTAAGCAATAAAACAACATTTTAAAAAAAGTTAGTAAAAATTATCATATAGCAAACCAATCTTCAAAATCTCTAAAGAGCTAACATGCAAGAGAGATAAAGAGAATTCTGCCACAAGATCTCAAAGCACTTGATCTCAAAAAAATTTCTAAATTTTACCATTAAAATGTCAGGTCTGAATGTACTACCTAGGGATTTCAGAATATTTCATAATAATTCATCCTGCTAAGAATAAAAGTCCCAGCATCTGTGGTAGAAACGAGAACTTAGATGTCCTGTCTTCCTACATTTCCTTGTAACAGAGGAACTTGTAGAACTTCACATTAACAAGTAGAGCATAAATATAATGATGCAAATAATAACAGTGATGAAGAAATAAAACCAGAAGTCAATTAAAATAATGTACAGGAAGCATTTCCCTTAGGTAACCTATCAAATGATCTTGGGAAGTGCTAAAAATAAAACAAAAACTGGGATGCAATGTCCTAACACAACAGTACAATGTTTCTATAGTGTTTAATTGTCCTGACTCATTACATCTGGCAGATGAAATGTCTCACAGAAGCACAAGCACTTATAAACCTGAGACAAACAGGCCCTAGGTGTACCAACTTGCATAATTGCTGTTCCTGACTCACCATTAATTTCAGTAAATAGTTATAGAGAGTACGAGGCACTGTTCCAAAACATATAGTATACCTTTCTTTTAGGAGCTTACATTTCTAAGAACTGGATTAACTTTGCTTTTAAAAATACTTTTTGTGCCCTGGCCAGGTAGCTCAGTTGGTTAGAGCATCATCCTGATACCCCAAGGTTGCAGGTTCCATGGTCAGGGCATGTACAAGAATCAACCAATGAACACATGAATAAGAACAATAAATCAATGTTCCTCTCTCCTTCTCTCTCTCTCTCTCTCTCTCTCTCTCTCTCTGTCACTAATCCAATATTTTTTTAAAACAAAATATTTTTGTAATGAAAAAAATGTTATCCTATATAATAAAAGGGTAATATGCAAATCGACCGAACGGCAGAATGACTGGTCACTATGACATGCACTGACCACCAGGGGGCAGATGCTCAACGCAGGAGCTGCCCCCAGCCCCTGACCAGTGATGGCGGGGGTGGGTCCAGCAGTGGGCAGTGCCAGGTTAGCCAACGCAGGTGCCAGTGGGGGCCCTCCGATCGCCCCGCTGGTTGCCCCACAGATGGGTCCTGATTGCCAGCCAGGCCAAGTGATCCTACCCGTGCACAAATTTCATGCACCAGGCCTCTAGTAATGTAAATAATAATGAAATAATACCTATGATTCACTGAATACCTATTATGTACTCAGTGAGTCATAGGCACTCTGCTGGGCAATTTTGAAAATATTATCTCTTGTTATCCAATCCCAAGTCTTCTAGGTTAGATATTATTGAACTCATTTTACAAATGAAAAGATCAAAATATATGTCAGCTATCCTTTGATATGTCAGGCAAAAGAAGGGGAAGAAGCTAGTCACTAATGCTATTGTCAGACTCAGAGTCACTAAAACAATAATGTAATGCTGTGAAAGAGAATAAGATAAACATTTAAGATGAATGCTAAAGCACAGAGATACTAAGTGATATTTGAAAAATGTTTCTGTAAGAAACAATATGAGCCTTACATGGGGAGACCTTCAGCACAAACTAGTTAACAAAGACTTTTTATAAAATGCTTGATGGTCATTAACTGATTATAATCCCAGTACCAATGGAAGATAGACACTCAGGAGGGGATTAGGATGAGAGTTGCTAAACAGATTACAATTGATTACCTGATTAGTCATTTACAAGACATTCGGGCATATTTTACCAAAGCTGCTTAACACCAAAAGCTGAAGAAATAAGAACTCAGGCTGACTTGTTTGCAGGAACACATTCATGTAGGAAAGGGGAGTTAAGTAATACACTCTGAAGGGACAGATGAGAATGAGGACATGAAGGGATAACACCTACACTTAAAATATGCTAAAAAGTAACACCCCAGAAAACAAAGGAGAATCACAGCTTATTCTAGATTTGGCAAATCTAGAGCTACTTTACAATCTGATGTTGTTAAGATACAATCAGCCAGCCATCTTCTCGCTCTCTCTTTTTTTTTTAACACCTTGTCATTCCTCATAATCTTGCCAAACTACCCCTATATTACTCTACTGTCCACATGTCCTCTAGATGCCAGTGTTTTCCAAACCTATCTGTTCGTATAACCCATGGTCGGCAAACTGCGGCTCACGAGCCACATGCGGCTCTTTGGCCCCTTGAGTGTGGCTCTTCCTAAGCCTTAGGAGTACCCTAATTAAGTTAATAACAATGTACCTACCTATATAGTTTAAGTTTAAAAAATTTGGCTCTCAAAAGAAATTTCAATCGTTGTACTGTTGATATTTGGCTCTGTTGACTAATGAGTTTGCCGACCACTGGTATAAACCATTTAGGGCACCTGTTAAAAATGGATGTCTAGTCCTAGGCCGGTGTGCTCAATGGTTAGAGTGTCAGCCAAACACCAAAAGATCGCAGGTTCCATCCCTTTGGTCTGGGTGCATGTGGGAGGCAACCAGCCGATGTGTCTCTCTCACATCGATGTTTCTCTCTTTCTCTTCCCCTTCCTTCCTCCCTTTTACTCTCTCTGAAAAGCAAGGGAAAAAGAATATCCTCAGGTGAGGATTAAAAAAGAAAGGATGTCTAGATTCTTTCCTTGAAGATTTTTGTTGTTGTACCTGGCTTATGACACCACTTCACATCCTCACCAGGCCAGGGATCCAGCCTGCAACTGAGGTATGTGCCCTTGACCAGAATCAAACCCATGACTCTTCAGTCTGTAGGCTGATGCTCTAGCCCAGTGGTTCTCAACCTTCCCAAAGCCGCGACCCTTTAATACAGTTCCTCATGTTGTGGTGACCCCCAATTTCATTGTTACAAATTGAACATAATTAAAGCATAGTGATTAATCACAAAAACAATATGTAATTATATATGTGTTTTCCGATGGTCTTAGGCGACCCCTGTGAAAGGGTCATTCGACCCCCAAAGGGGTCGCGACCCACAGGTTGAGAACCGCTGCTCTAGCCACTGAGAAAACTGGCTGGGCCTTGAAGATTCTTATTTCCAAAATTTAAAGTGGAGCTCAGTGATATACATTTTCAATAAATTCCCGAGATGACTCTTTTGATCTGGAAAATTGAGAAACACTATACTAGTTCAAGAGTCTTCAAATTAGTTTTCCTGTTAGAGCTCATGGAGGCTTTCCAAAGGGTATGTGTATAGTACTAAGGGAATAAATTTCCATACGGGTCTGCTTTCCCCATCCTTAGTGCCTAGCATGTGGCCTGGTACCAAAACTGGTCTTCATTTGTTAAATGCTATTGCAGTATCCATCTCTCCCACTTCCACTCTTCCTATTAAGAGGGGAATCAGACAAGTATATAAAAATTTGTCAGAGTTTTTACTTATTTTCAACTTTCCTGTAAACGTCTCGAAAAACTACTATGAAGCCATAATTCCAAATCAATCTGGGGTACCAAGGTGTGAAGGGAAAGAAAATCAATAATCCCTATATAACCTTAAAGCCCTTAAAAAAAGGAATATTTGCCAAATAGACTAACTCCTCATATAATCCAGTTTGAAAATTTAAACACAGTGACTTAAATCATCTGTGCCTTAATTTCCTCATCTATAAAAATGTTAATATTAGAATTTAACTCCTTATGAGTTGTTATAAGGATTAAGCAAGCTAATTGAATGCAAAGTGCTTACAAAATTGCCTGACAAATTCTAAATGCTCAGTAAATTTTAGCTGGCTTTATAATTAGGATACCAAAGTGAATTTATAAGAATAAGCTTAGGACCCAAGAACTCCCATAACTATGGAAGAAGTAGCTAAATGAGACACTTGCAATACAGACTTTCCTTCACTTCTTGGTGTGAGCTGTATAAAATTTGAAAGTTAAAAGTTGGCACATGGGGATTAAGATAAAGGTCCAGTAAAGAGAAGGTGGTACACTCATGGCAAATGGTATGAGGAAGCAACAACTCAAGAAAAATCATGGAAGTTCCAAGATGTTACACATGGCACCCTGGAAGCTCTAAACCAATCAGTGTGACAGTCTCTTCACACTTGGAACATGAGAGGTTTCTCTTTTATGAACCAGTAATCACATTATCTACACTGTACATTAAAGAGAAATAAGTGCTGTTTATTACATGCTAATCACTGTTATAAACATGTACAGTGCAGATATGATTGATGGTTTTGAAAGAGAGGTTTTCCAATCCTAATATATCTTATCATCTCTCACATAATATGTCGCATTAAGATAATCCTTGTCTTGTTGCTCACATCAGAGTAGTACTATTTTGTTGTTGTTAATCCTCACCTGAAGATATTTTTCCATTGATTGTTAGAGAGAGTAGAAGGGAGAGGAAGAGAGAGAAACACTGATGTGAGAGAGATGCATCGATTGGTTGCCTCCTGCATGCACCTCAATCAGAGCCCGGTAACCTGAAACCAAGGTACATGCCCTTGACTGGAATTGAACCCAGGACCCTTCAGTCCGTGGGCCGATGCTCTATCCACTGACCCAAACTGGCTAGAGACAGAGTAGTACTTTAAAACCAATCAACCACTCTGACCAGTATGGCAAAGTTGGTAGGGTGTCATTCTGTGCACCTAAGGGTTACCGGTTCGATTCCTGGTCATGGTGCATGGCCTCGTTGCAGGCTAGGATCCCTGGTGGGGCGTACAAGAGGTAGCCGATGATGTTTCGCTCTTGGATCCTGTTTCTCTCTCCCTCTCCCTTCCTCTCTAAAAATCAATAAACATACGAGAAAAATAAAATAAAACCAACCAACCACTAAGCTGCCAGGCTCAAGGCTTTTATCACTGTTAACTAACAGTATCACTCACAGCTGTACAGTCACTTCAGTTTGCACTGCTCAGTATTGAATATGTCCCTGTTCTACTCATATCATTATGCAAGGCTTTCCAATGACACCTGGGCAGATCTGTGAAGTTCCTATAACAACTGTGTAAGTGTACTGTCTACTAGAATTTTCATACAGTGACAATCACCAATGGCAAAAATAATATATTTGTACAATACTTTATGGTGAACTTTCATATATATTGCCTAATTCTAACAATAGGTATTACTGTTGTTGGCATTGTTTTCACCGTGTTACATATAATAAAAACTAAGGCTCAATTGTATGGCTATTTAACAAATCTATAGTGATAAGTATTTTGGCTGCATTTAAGGGACTGTTTTTGTAGGCTTGTTGTTTGCAACTACAAAGCCCTATTGTGCCCGAACCAGTTTGGCTCAGTGGATAAAGCATTGGCCTGTGGATTGAAGGGTCCCAGGTTCGATTCTGGTCAAGGGAATGTACCTTGGTTGTGGGCACATCCCCAGTAGGGAGCCTGCAGGAGGCAGCTAATCGATGTTTCTCTCTCATCGATGTTTCTAACTCTCTATCCTCCTCTCGGTAAAAAATCAATAAAATATATATTTTTAAAAAACCCTATTGCAAGGCAAGTTCTTATATGTCATTTTATTTTACACCATCCATGTCCATGTTTATGAACACGTACGACCATGTAAACCCGTAGAAGTGGAAGATGATCTGGGTCAAATACTATGCTTTTAAAACTTTAATACATGCCTTTTAAATTGTGGTTTTTAAAAAAAATCCTCACAGGAGGATATTTTCTTTTCTTTTTCTTTTTTTTAAATGAAGTGAAGTGTCATTTGCATCAGCCATGTTTTTTTAAAAAATATATTTTATTGATTTTTACAGAGAGGAATGGAGAGGGATAGAGAGTTAGAAACATCGATCAGCTGCCTCCTGCACATCTC